TCACCGTCAACAGGCGCTCACGTGCGACGCAGTTCCAAGGGTCTATCTGCGTCCGGAAGGGAAGCAACACCAAAAGGTGTTTGTCCATCATTTCAGCGTATGCATCGACCAACTACAGTTCTGACACGCAAAACGACAAGTTCTATGATAGAGTCACCGAATCTATTCGGTTGAGCCTGTTCGATTTCGTCAGAGACAAAAAACTGGAGAACGCATTAAGAAGCCTCTAAAATGTTAATATTTAATGGGCAGATGACGAAAAGCTGTGCGATCTACAGTACGCAGACAACATCATTGCCTATTCGAATGTTTGGAGGAAGCACAAAAGGTACTTGACGGACCAGAAAGTTGTATTGCTCCGTTCGGCATGCGTTTTGCACCCTTAAAGTGTAAAGTGATACTGCAGGACTAGGTGTCGCTCTGAAACTAAATGGCCAGCAATTTCTTATGGTGGATTGCTTTTCGTACTAAGGTAGCTGCGTGACCAATGACGATAACGCAGTGAAGGAGATAACCTCCCGTATTCTCAAGGCTCGAGGAACGTATGCAGGACTTAAACACTTGGGGCGACGACGTGACGTTTCACCAAAGTTGAAAAGTAAACCATTCTTAACCCGATGACTTGAAGCAAGTGCTAGTCCGCGTTGATTCGATGTTTTATTGCCTCTGTGATACAGCCAGTACTATCGATACCAGGGATTTTGATAATTTTAGAGCCAGAGCCCACTAACCTGATTTCAGAGAGGTACCTGACGTCCAGCTGATAGGCGCGCGCATCGTAAGCGCCTGACTCCCGGCATCTAGGCGTGTTTTAACGTTCCAGTATTTAATGTCGTCATCATCATCATTTTACAACGTAATACAGTGAAGCAAACTTCACTGATCGCTGTCAAACTCATATTGCACACAAGGTAAGTGATAATGTGTAAGGAGGATAGGGATTGGACCTATTTTTAGGGACGGAAAAAGAAAGTGAACCTCTATGGTCAACACACAGTCCAAATGTGCACACACACTATTTCAAGCATTCTGGTCTGATGAGAAGTGACAGCAAGCTCGCCATTGCTGTTAGTTCGCAGCAATAGCCTCCAACTATGCGGTTTTGGAATCTTTAAGACCCCAACCCGGAAGACGAGACACCTACTCTACCTAATAGCTCTATGCATCTAACGTAACATGTTTCCGTTAGTTTAAGGTGTTCAAAGCATAAATTTGTCACTCGGGCCATTGGGGATCACAGAGCGCGTCGCCTTCCGGGAAGGCCGTTGCACGACTGACGTGAATTTGGGTGATTATCCATGGAATTTCCTGGAAGTCAGGTCCAAGAATGGTCTCCTGCGTCATCCGGCTTTAGGTTGAGGTGGCATCTCTAGCCTTTGCAGATTCCAGTGCTAACTGCAAGGCAGCAGGAAGGTAGCGCATGGTTGCCGATGTCCCTCTGGGGGCTCATACGCAGTTGACAGTTTCTAACTGAACAGGAATTATTTTTTTAGTTTGTATATGCATTCCCAAGGCAACCCTCTGAGTTAGATGCGCTACGCCTACGGGATACCCCATATACTCATATGCAACAAATTACGATCGCATGAAATTATATGCAACAATTTACTGACGCATGACGGACCGGCCTCGCTCACACATGACTGGGCAACACACACGTGTGTGGCGTTCGATGTCACACAATTGTGATCGTGGAGTCGAGGGCTTGAGATGCGGAGAAGTGTTGGGCACGCTCAGTGAACGGGGTGGAAGGCACGGCAACCCAGTCACGTTATGGAACGAACAATAGATCTGGTCAGAAAGTGAGCAAACCCAGAAAGTACTGAACTGAAGTCTGTAAAAATGGTTTTGGGTAAATGATGGATTCGATATCCAACTGGTTTCACTAAAGTAGTCAGTCTTGCATATCCAGTTATATATGGAAACATCCAAATATGTCGTGCAGTTATTTCTGAGTGCACGATATCGAATTTAGACTGTATTCCACTCTAAGCAAAATCATGATGGTTACATGTGATATTCTGTGCACGCATAATTTTCTGCCTTGCCACTACTGACTGTTGTCAGTGATTAGACTCGGTTTGGACAATCTTCCGTTTTATGCTTGCTTATTGGTTGACTCTAAATTGTCTTTGTCTTGGCAGCCGGCTATCTTAGTTCGCCCACTGTTTTGCTCTGAACACCACACGTTGGTGCTCTTTGTTGGACAGCTAGTCAAACTATTTCTAATGTACGTTTCCTTTCGATTTCATCCTTCGTGTTTGCCATGACGTATGTTAACATATTGTTTCATTACTATAGAGCTACTACAAACAAGAATCCGGCTATCTTTTGATATTGCCATGGACCTCTAGGGTGCGCATATTCGAGCAAAGACTAGCAAAATACTGTAGATTTAAATCGCGTGTTACCCACATGGTCACTAACACAATAGTACAAGCCGTTGGATGACCTTAAGCTGTTAAAAAATCACATGACTACAATGACGGTCAATAACAAATTCTAAAGAATCGGTATAAATCAGGTGATTCCTGAGTTTGAATGAATGAGTACACATCTCATGGAAATGCAGCGATAAAACAGCGGTACGTAAAAACCTTAGTGAAGAAAGGGTATTAAAATTGAGACGACAAGAATGTGTGTTCGAACACCGAAAACTCCCCAAAAATAATATTGCTGACTTGTTTATCCAACTTAATGAAACTCGGAAGAAGGTGAGTTGGAGACCGGTAAGGAGAAAGGAACACCGTTCGAGACACCGCGACGGCACGACTATTCTCTTCACAGACTATCAATCTAGTGCAATTTTTCGGTCAAACATCGAAAACGAGTGCATGAGAAGAGTAAGCGAGTGCCTATGCGATCATATCGTGATTCATTATGTATAGAGAAAACCGGCAACCAGACATGGCGGTGAATCACAGTGTCTTAAAGGAACAGGCGCGGTAATGAGTACGGAGATAACGGAGTCTGTTATCACATGTATTTAACATTTCATGGAGAGATGATGGCATCGCTAAATAGTGAAACGTCTTCTAGGAAAGCCGTAAACACCAAATGCTTACCTTAGCAATGATCAGTTCACGAAGTGAGCTTTCGGTCTCGGTAGCAGGGGCATCGGGACTACGCTCCAGGTTTTCCGTGACACCGGTCATGACGCTCGGCAAGAACTTCATAAACATAGGCAAGCCTTTACGACGGCACATTGTACCCATCAACTGGCCGGCCGCTATTCGAACACGAAACTCAAAATTGTCGTGACATTCCAAAACACGCGCCTCCAATTCAGGAAGGAGCTTCAATTCCTCGAGTTTTTCATCAGAAACGCTCTGCAGTATGATATTAGCAGCAGTCAGGCCACCATATATCTGGAAAAAAATCGTCCGATTAGGTGCAAAATGTGAAGCAACACACCTCTTCCCAATTAGAGAGTCCCTCAAGCTTATCCGCAATCCACTGACAGAGGAAGGTTAAATCACATGGTGATAATGTGGTATCACGCAGCTGATTCTCCCCTTTTTCTCTGTCTAATTTCTTTGGTGCACACAATAGATGCAACGTTGGCAGCAACTCGACTGTCTCGCCTGACTGAAAGTTGATGAATTGGAGGGTGATATTTTTTAACTTACCATCAGTAAAGGCCAACCAAAGTTCTCGTATGAAACACGCAAACCTGGAAAAGGAAAAGTTACTTAAAATAGATTGCAAATGCAACAACGTGAATAAACAGATCAAACGGCTCAATCTGAATGAATTCAATCAGAAGTTTGAGCTAAGGCTTACATCAATCTCTAACCTATTTATCACCTGCATCGTTAGACAAAGCAAGCTAACCTTATTTACTTCATTCGATTTAACCATGAGATAGCGGGAGATCTATTATTATTATTATTATTATTATTATTATTATTATTGTTAGTGAGGACTGGACTACTTTGGAGTCCAAATGACAGGCCACTAACGTAAGGAGGCATCTGATTGGAATAACACTTCTGCGCCAACAGGCTGTTGTGTCCTTGGAGAATACTCGGGTTTTCGCTCACCATCGCTTATCCAAACTCTCAGTGATACGATTGTTTTCACGTCTGTTTTGTATGCAGATACTCGGTTCGAACGCCGGCAGGACCAACATTTTGCCCGTGAAATCCTCAGTATGGTCAAGGGTCATACTTCAGTTGCACCTCGATAAATGTTCCGGTAGAACAAAGTGTCTCAAACAGCCTCTGCTCAGGAAGTCCTACTTAATGTCTTACCTGGGCGGTGATTTCCCACCAAGAAGATACGGTGAAAAAACAACATCGGGGTTGGTGAAGCAGTTCAGTTCAGTTTTTACAACCATTAGCCATGCACTTTCGTGTACCGGTTTTAACTGCTGCCTTTTGGTGCCCCATTTGGATGAAAGAGCAGGATGAAGATTGGAATGTTCAAAGCAAACTCAACCGGAAGATGGCGAATTCATAATCATCCCGAGGTCCCCAGTCAGAGAGCCCAACGGGGCTAATGTGACATTAGTCTCCTGGTTAGGTGTTCATACCCCCCCTGCTAAGTCTTCGTTTTACCACCCTCGCCGTGGCAAGCTACTTGGTGACATGCGTAAGACACGCCCCAACCAACGTAATCCATGGAGTTCGATCACTTGCTCCAGTGGACGATCGCGACTGCCTAAAACTACGCCTAACCGCAGTATTGCTAGTTCCGTTACCCCACCAAACTCGTGCAATCAGACGTAGACAGCGGTGTTCAAACACCGACAGTCTATCTTCATCCTGTTTTCTTAACGACCAAGTCTCTGCACCTTAGAGCAGCACTGGTTGAATCGCTGCAGCATATACTCGACCCTTCACAGACAACCGGATGTCGCGACGGCGCCACAGATGTCTCAAGTTGGCAAATGCCAACCGAGCCTTCTGTATGCGAGCTGACACTTCATTCGTGATACCTCCACTGGGTGAGATGTAGCTGCCCAGATAGCAAAACTTATCCACCTACTCTACTACTTCCCCAGTTAGGGTGAGACTGAGTGCTGGACCAACGTTATCTTGCAATAACATTTTACACTTTGAAGGTGCAAAACGCATACCAAACATGGACATGCTAGCATTCAAACTTTCAAACAATCTTGCAGCTTACTTGGATCTTCACAATGTCGTCTGCATACTCTAGATCAGACAGCCTGCCATCGGGGAGTAAAACGATACCGCTATCCCTGCACGAGGATAGGGCTGTTTCAAGAATTAAACACATCACGAAGATAAACAGAAAAGAAACTCCACTTTCCGCGGTGAACTCGGGTGAAAAAGTGTCGTAAGCTCGGACTAAGCTTCGGCTGTTATTGTAGAGGGATTGTAATATTGAAATTAATTTCTCGGTCACACCCCTCAGAGCGAGGGAGCGGTCGACTAAGTCGAAAGCCGCTTTTACATCAAGATCGAAATGGTGAGTCTACGAAAAGAGTGTCTGTGTTCTGGAATTTGACGAAGAGTGAAGATGTGGTCTATACGACCTCGACCAGGTCTGAAACTAGCCTGATTTTCACGTGTGCACTTTTCACGAGCGGTATGATCACCGATTCACACCATTCAGTTGGAACCTGTTCCCTCTCCTGCTCAGAGCCCATGAGTTTTGTTAACTCCAAGACCAAGGCTGAGGATCCCTTCTTAAAAACGGATGGGGACAGCCCGTCGGGGCCGGAAGCCTTATGCCGTTTGAGATAACTTATTTCCCGAGAAACCTAGATTTCTGATGGAGGACTGACGTCAACTGGGAGTATTTGCGCAGTTGACGCTGATAGGAGAGGTCTTGTGTCGACGGGGACCAGCTGAACTGTGTTGAANAGTTAAAAATCGTTTACAAAACCACGAAGATGACCCATCCACCCAGACCTTTTTGGCTGTCAATGGTAGCCGGCTCAATGGAGTATCGAGATGTATTGGGCGCCCAAGAAGTTTGACCACGTGTAAAGGCGCATGATCTTATGCACTGGACACCAAACTCAAACGGACTAAGGTTTTCACACCCCGATCTGCTGTCTAGCGGGTCAAGGTTTGGTTAGTGGAAGCTACGGTTATGCATTCGCCGAGAGAGTTAACCTGTTTTGGTCTGGGCAACCTGGCCATCAAAATGAGATTGCACTTTGACAGTATGATGGCCTGTACACCTCTATGATCCAACGAGCTACACAGGATGGCTTTTATTAAGTCAGGAGATCTTATCACGTCTCGGAGGTCAGACAAAGTTTAGTCTCCTGGTCCTCCAGGTTGGGGGTTTGACTCGAGTTAGCGTCTTAGTCGGTGAAATGATAGAGTAATCGATCCAAGTAAATGGATCTCCGCGCTTTAACCACTGCCTTGCGGTCAGGTTCTTGTCAGAACTAAAGGCTTTGAACAAGAACCCTAATCGTTCTCCTGCTTAGTGTCTGGACACCCTGGCAATACCGGCCTATCAAACTCTAATACGGACACAAACAAAAAATAATTTCACGCTGCATCGGTTATCGGGCAGGATAATCAGGACCGCGCTGCCCATTGTATCGAGCGGGGTGGGTGGCGATAAGTGGGCTACTGCTCAGACATGCCAGCTTTTGTATAACTCTTTGTCTTCCGTAACCAATCCTCTCAATTTACTCCTCCTTCCGACGCGTAACATTTCAGCAGACAATTTGTTCGTCATTCGGTAAAGTTCGTCGCCAAGTAGTTTACCACAAAATAGGCTGTAGATTCTGAAGCTTCATCAGGCTTTCAATCTGAGGGCCTTCCACGTGAGGACTCTGACGCGGGTGGGCCAACAAGGTTGTCGGGTGCGTACAATGGACTCAATGGGAGTTTATCTTTGCTGTGTATTGAACTTGAATTCAGGATTGTAGTACTATAAGCAACTTGAGTGAGCCGAACTCGTCTTCGATGTAATTCCTGCGCGCATCGGGCGACGACGAAACCCGTTCAGTGGGTCAGAGTAGCGTGGGCATTTTAATTAATAATACAGCCGAAGCGTTACTTAACGATTGAATCACCGTCAACAGGCGCTCACGTGCGACGCAGTTCCAAGGGTCTATCTGCGTCCG